TAATGAATAATGAAAATTAAAAATTAATTTTAATATAATTAATATTGATAAATATTAATTAGTATTAAAAAGAGATTTAGTTAGCAGAAAATGATTAAAAAGACTCATGGAGCTTATTGAAACACTACTATAAGTAGTGTTTTAGTAAGGTGATGTTTATTTTATGATGTACTGAAAAAAGTCTGATTTCACTTCTGATTTATAAGAGATGGTCCTAAACTCTGAAATCTGGATCAGTAAGATTGTTTGTTTTTACGTCTGAAATCTGAATCGGTCAAGGTAGTGCAAAATTATAAAAGATAAAATAGGTTTTTTTTACAAATGTATAAAAAATAAATAGTTTTTGCTAACAAATATCTTTCAACCCCATAAAAACGAACCATTTGATAGAGAACAGATTAGGATTAAGAGGTATTAAAAGATACGTTTACCACTTAAAATTTTAGAGGACATTTAGAGCTTTTAAGCTCTTATTTTATAAATAAAACAAATGCTCATAATACTCGAACGTCTGAACGAATCATACTTCAAAAATATTAAGAGGTAACTTTGAAAAAAACAAAGAGGCTCTAAGTTAGTTTATAGTTTACTTTTTACCCATCAAAATAAAACTTTTAAAATAAACTTAAAAATAAATTAATTTATGTTTATCAAATCTATACTACCTTATAAACCATATTTATTAAAAGTCTTAAAAATAATTTTTAATACACAAAGTACTATACATTTATGCACAAAGTTTTAAAAACAACTCATAATGCATTAAATACTACTATTTTATGCATTCAGTCTTAAAATCTCTTAATCTATAATTAAAATACAATATAGTACAAGTTACCAATGCATATTATAACATTTTTCTTTTCATGTTCCCAAAATACTTTTGACACATTTCACTCATGCATTAACCATCTCATACCTCTATGTCTTCTCTCCATCCTCCAATGTGAGATTAAAAATGATATTCATCATGAGTTATTAAAAGTTTTCTCATTCATTTGCTTTAGAACTATGAGTCTCGCTCTCGATCTCTTGATTCTTTGCTCTTGGTGTAAATCGAACACATTTGTGAAGTCGTTTAAATATGTTAAATTTTAAATATATTGGATTTTAAACTGTCATACAATTTTTTTCATTGATAGACTGTAATTGGAACCATAACTCTTATTTATTTAAATTGTATTAATATATAAAGACCAAGTGTAACTTATATCATCGTTAAATCTTCTCTAATAAAACCAGTGAACCTTCAAAATCGTTAAAATTCATGGCTCCCACCGCATTGTACGAGTACACAACTAGTATGTCTTAATCGAGATTCGAAAAAAGTGAAGGCTATGAAATAGTCTTGGACCATGGTAAAACCATAAAAATTACCTTAAAATGGGCCCAATAATGTAACCTTTAGTAGGCCCAAATTCGATATAAGAAGTTAAAGAACCACTTGTATTTGTATTTCAAGTTTATTTCATGTTTAATTATAGGTGGCTAAAAGTCGGTTCCAGGTTGGGCTGGACCGGGCCTAATTTGGTCCTAGTCTCAAAGTAGTGATCTCTTAACCGATCTTGTTCCCATCTCTATGTCTAACTAATCAGTTTTTGATAAGTTATCGTTTTATTTTGAATTGTTTCTTAATCTTTTATTTTAATAAAATAATAATAATTTGTCATAGATTGACCGGTGGAAAGGAGGGATATATGGAGTTCAGGAACAAATGATTTGTATTCTTAACTTGTGTATGACGTTTAAGCAATTTACATCGATGTAACTACATGGGCTACTTATATGGGTTGTTTATCAATATCCAAAAGCAAATTGTGAAAATATGCGTTGAACGAAGCAGTAGATTGAAATCGAGATCTTAGACTTTTTCAATACCAAATAGCTGATTTGAGTTTGAGGTGGGATTCACATGTTAAAGCTTTAATAAAATGTTGTGTTTTTTCATGCCATAACGATGGCTAAATGGTTCCATCATTCATCTGGACGATATGCACATGTGCATACAAGCAATTGAAAACGTTTTTTTTTTTTTGGTTTTTTGCACTTGTGCATAATATGGACATGTATATACCGGAGAAATTGCTTCCAAATTACTTGTATGCCTATGTGCATACTGTCCAGATGAACGGTTACTAGAGTGTTTCTCAATTTTCTATTTTTTTACGGTTTTCTCCAAACCTAACCCTATATATATATATATATATATATATAGAGAGAGAGAGAGAGAGAGAGAGAGAGATAGATAGATAGATAGATAAGTGGAGGTTCAAACGAGAACACCTCCATTTTACGAGAACGCGGTAACACCCTTATCACATGTGATAATACGCGTGAGAGGACCCTGTGATGTGCGGACTTAGGCCGTGCCAAACGTTGTCTGCGTCTATGATTTAACATCACATGTGATGGTCTTGATGGATTATAGTATCATATCAACAACAACCTTATCACATGTGATAATCATTATGAAGGGACTTAGTGGTGTAAGGGTGACTTGGCCCGCAACCAATATCACATCGAAAATCGCACGTGTCTCTAATTTAGTATCACATGTGATTGTTTACAGTAAAAAGGTATTCTCGCATTCTCGTAAAATGAATGTGCTCTCGTTTGAACCCTTCCCTATATATATATATTTTAAAAATAATAATGAACAATTACTTTTTAATGTAATTTGCTTCTGAAATAGCCATAGTTTTGATTTACTTTATGTTTAACTAAGAATAAAATATGAATTTTTGTTTTTGATGCAAAGAAATGAAAAGGTACGAGTTCTTCAATAGCTTCATCTTGGGGTCTCTCGGTTTCATAAATCAGTTATATCCGACCCGAATTGTAAGGATATATTTGTTTCACAGGCCTAGCAAAAGCCCATTTATATATCCGACCCAAATTGTTGTCAGATCTTTGACAGGGACCGAAGTTGCACATAAATGAAAGTTGGAGGGTGCCATACACCATAAACGAAAAGAAACGGAACCCGTCGACAACAAAACCCAATTTGAAAACAATTTCATATCCGCCTTCACGTTTTCGTAGTCAGCAATATCCATATCGCCCTCCCTCTGTCTATATAAACATCATTAGTCCTTCCAAATTGTTCCCCATTTTCAAAGCAAAATCCCTCTTACTCCTCCACGAAATTCATGCAAAATGCTACGCCAGTTCTTCACATTGTGTGATTCTTATTGAAGTGCTGTAATCTTTTGTACCAATTGGGTTCACTGCGAACCGAGAAGCAATTTTTTGTATCAATTATCTGGTTTCTTGGGCTCTTTTTTCATCTCGAAGATCCGGTCTTTGCGATTTGTTTTTTGCAGCGGTGAGTTGATCGTTATCACCCGACATTTGGTGCATTTTTATTATGTCTTGTAGATTATTTAGGGTTTCAATGTAAAATTTAGTATGTAGATGCTGCTGCTATGTATACCGATTGCTTTAATTGTTTTCAAGCTCAGGACTGTAGCTTACCTAAAATTGAAAGGTTGAGGTTGGGGATTTTAGAGCTAAATTATGTGTTTACACCATGAAAATAAAGTTCGGATGGGGTGAGCTTCCTTTAGGTGGTTTCCTTGCCTTTGCTTTATGTATTTTAGGCTTGTAATTAGGGTTTCGAGTTAGAAGAGCGCGCATTGTTGTCCAACTTATAGTCTAAAATAAATTATCTGTAAGTTGCAATTATAACACATCAAAATTGCAAACATGATTTCATTCTATTGCCAAGATGCTTTGACATTATATATGTAAGTGTGTAACCACCTGTGGAATATAGTATATATACGTCATAATCTGCCATTGCTGAACTTTACATTCTATTCAAAGGCTTTGTTATTTCTCAATGTAGCTAGTAGCTTAATTTGTAGGTAAATCACTTGTTCTCAATGTAGCTAATAGCTTAATTTGTAGGTAAATCACTTGTTGGAGTCAGCATGTGTCCTTATATGAATTGAATTTTTCATAAGTATATCAATGAGCATTTGAAGATCTGGAATTTGGTTAATATCATATATTTGTCTTGTTATGCTCGAATAGCGAACCTTTATTATTTAGTCCTGCTTCCCTTTTTCCTACACGAGGATATGGGCATGGGGTTATGTCTAAAAATGATCCCACACTTGATATTTCTTTTTTGAAATTTGTGCAAGTGGCATGTGATCTTTATGGTGGTGATGATGATTTTTGTTGGCCTGACTTATTGTCGCAAGAACAATCAAAACTGAACCATGATGATTTGGTTTGGGTTGAATAAATGAAAGAAGTGGCCAAGTCATGATGATTTGGTTTGGGTTGGATAAGTGATAAATGCTTGTTTGGTTTGGTTGTTTGTTGTGTCTACATACCTTGATGAAACAAAAGCAATTGTACACACCCACACATGGACTAGTGAATACTTGGTTTTCCTATAGTTAACCTTACCGATAAGTAGTAACTAAAACCATATATTGTTATCAAACTTAGGGGTGCTGAATATGCTGCCAACCTACCAGTTTTGAAGTGTTTGGCAAATCTTATTCTGCTTATGAATTATTAGGGCCACTATAATGAGATTTTGAGAAGTAGATTAGGAGTTGGCACGGCGAAACTGATTTTTGAAGGTAAACAGTTAAACACAAGATTCCATAACCATCCCGAACTTTAATACTTTGTTGCAGCTAATTACCATATTATGAAAATGTGCATCCTAACATCCTCTTAGTAAAACTCCCTTTTTCCTTGACTATCACTTTTGCAATCAGCTCTATATTAGTCCATTGAAAAGTACTTTCTTTAATATCTTTTATAAATAAAAATTTAGTTATTTATCTTTCCCCTTCTATTTTCATTATCTTTGTTAGCAAAACTTTACATTCCTTTTGCTTTTTTGGGATCATTTACAAATAAATTCGTAAAAACAAACGTCCATTTCTAGCCTTCTGATGCAACATTTGTTGGTTAATAACAAGCAAATACTTACCAATTAAACAAAAGAAAAGATGATTGTCCAAGATTGTTAAATCTTAAGCACCGTTAGTTGAAATATCTTGTGACAAAACCATGGGGATTATGCATCTGTTAACAAGATCTGAGATTAATGTCAACATTGCCTTCTATTTTGGAACTGCATCTACGTTGGGTAGAATTGTGAGTGTAGTTATAACTTATAGGAGTAATAAAAATGTGACATCCCTTTGAGAAAGTGCTTTACATAAACAAGAAGTAAAAAATCCAAAGAGATACTTACATTGTGTCATACGAGTAGTATTATGATTCATAGAAGGATGCTGATGATTACATGATGTAGAATTAAGAGAGATGCTTGCATCACGGTGCTGTATTCCTGTATACAATTGACGTATGATGAGAAAGGACTTGAATTCTAGAATCAAGAAAGAACATGGCGTGTAGAATCGAGAGAGCTCCTAGCATTGACTTGTGTTTGGGAGCAATAACGCTAAGATGAATATATGAGGGAGAGAGATAGAGATAGAGATTAGGTATGTGGAAAGAGATATGAGAAAGTTGTTTTAGTAAGTTTTGGTCAAGATGACATTGTTTTGATTACGCTTGTAGAATGGGCATTTATAAAGTATTTACCCCAAAGGAAATCTCAAAAGAGTTGAAAGAGAAAAAGAACAATATAATACAATAGGATACGGATACCAAAATCTGCATTTGGTTTCTTTGTTCTCTTACTAATGTTCTTGGGTTTGCATTTATTATATTACTTCATTAAATAACAAAAATTTCTGGGGTACATATGGATCCACCTGAACCAAATTAGGATGCCTTGTGTTATGCCATGGTCTGGTTTGGTCTTACAGTCATTGAAATGAGGTTTGTGGTTTTGTCACATTTTTTATGCTTTATTTGTTTCAGTCATTTGATATTGTCATTTCTGTTATTTTTATGTGGGTAGAAATTACTATGTGCTTGTGTGTTATTGGAAGTAACCAGAACAGGAGATAGGACTAGCAAAATAGAGAAAGGAGGAAAATATATTAACAGGTGGACACTTCGCCTCCAACTTTACTCAAATTGGAATACCCTAGCTTGTGCATGATCAATCTTGTGGGTTGACATATCTTTATAGTTCATACTCTTCTCTAAGTCTCTGTACATAAACTCATTTATATGTGGCATGACCTAATCTATACCTTGAGATAGAAATCTCACTTGTAGAAGCCACCTTTTATAGTCTCCAATGTAAGGGTGGGGTTTGTTGGAATAGTGGAGCTTTCCAAAACAATGGTAATTTCACTAAAAGATCTCTTCCAACTTTTGTACATCTGAAGAGCTTGGTGATAAACTGATAATCCAACAAGTTTGAAAACATGAAATATACATATTCAACTGGGAAAGATAGACAAAGATAAAAAGTAAAGGATAAGAAAACAAAAAGAGCGCTAGGAGATGCAAATGGATATGTGAACGGGTCATATACTTCCTTTCCTTCTGAGATTCAAAATCTCATGTTACAATTGTGAGTTTGTGACCATAGTTGCCGTAGGCCTTATGCAACCCTAGTGACCAGGAGAATGTGAAGGACCTTATCGTTTAAGAGAATCTTTTTTGCTCTTTGTTTTAGCCAACGAATACAATGAACAAGAGAAGAGCAAGGAGAATAGAAAGTAAACTTTATAAACAATCAATTGTAATATGCATAATGGGTAGAGAGTTAGTAATAATAAACTTTAGGGCATGAGGAAATCGAGGTAGTAGTTGGAGAGTCATAGTCAGCGTTAAAGGCTAAAGAAGTCGAGGCTGCAGTCCATTTTAAGTTTTTATAGTCTTGACATAGTCTTTCTCTTAAAATTTTCTTATTGTAGCTAATTGGGTCTTAGGTAAACACTAAAATGTCCATCCAGGTCAAGACAATTCTGGATAAATTGGTATTAGTGTTTGATTATATGATATATTGAGGAGAATACCCTGAAAGAGTAGAGTCACAAGATTATCATTTGATTCATAATATTGTGTCTGCATGATTGGTTGAATCATGAGTGGTCGTCAATATGGAAGCTTATGATACGAACTCATACATGCCAATGATTACTTTGATTTTTATACCGCATAGGGGCTCAACCCAAAAGGACATGTTGGTTTTGCAGAAAATGTTTTGGATTACTGTATTGTGTGATTCTCTAGTTGACTAGGTTGAATATCATACATTCCATGCAAGATATTGTTGGTGTCATATACATGTGTATTCTGTAGTGAAACTTTTGTTCTGCAACCTTCTTGTCATTTTGTATCTTGATTCTTGGGGATGATTTTTCAACTTTAAAATCTAACTCCAACAATATTATTTTGAGTATCTTCTCTACATAAGGTGTCATCCATTTACGTTGGTTATTACCTGAGAACAAGGGAAAAGAGGAGTAGAGCGTATGCAGTGACCTTCCTTCAACCCAAAGAAATTGCACCAAGTGTCCCTATATGTAAATTTGGCATGCTCTCTCCTCAAACCACCCAGACATGTGTTGGAGCTCTTAAATCCCCGGTCCCTATGCATACGATGCAAGTTTTGGGTTAAGATTCAAACAATTTCTACATTGTGCAACTTATTTTTCCATGTTGAGCATGATTTGATAACAAACAGCCTGTAAGCACAAAAATGACAACAAAAAACTAACATTTACAATAAATCGACAATATACTTTCTTCAATAGTTTTTCTTGTTCTTATATCTTTTTTTATGTATAATCTTATGCATATGGTAGCGAAGCAATGTTGATTAATTTTTGGTAACGGTAGTCATATATCCTACTACTAGTTTACTCCTTGGTGATTCAAAAACAAGTTAACAACTAAATGCCTGAATACATACAGCAAAACCATTTGGAAAGTTATAAAACTTAGTTAGCACCCTGTCTTCTCATCACTGATTTTAGATTGATGAAGTTGGTCTTTTGAGCAAGTCTTGTGCGGCTGCATAATATTTAAGTGGGTCATCTCATCTCAGAATCATATTCTTTACTGCCTTGAAAATTTTGTTCTCAGACTCCAGTTTTCTTTTTTGTATTTAACTCCTTACAATATGAAATATCATGGTAATTGACGGTCAGGGGCTGCTAATATTAGATTTAACATACTTAATTAATGGGCTTATTCGCTAAGCCATATTCGTATGTTCGTTTTATTCGTTAAGCCCGTGGCTTAAATGGGCTTCATCGGCCAGTCGGGGGGGGGGGGTAGCTGTATCAATTCAGTAAGCCATCATATTTCCCCCTCAATACCCTTTTCTTTAAACCTGCCTCTGCTATCATCATTTCACTCTTGCTATCTTTGTGGACATTCAACCTTCAAATTCATTCCTTCCCCTTCTAAGCTCTAATGACCCTTTCTTTCCTTTGGATTCTGAATTATTTGATTCTGTGTTTGAGCTAAGACACCTAGAGGCTTTTTACTGGTGAAAGGTACTTTCTTGAATTCATCAATGATATGTTTTTTAACCATTTTATCAACCTTGGTGAATCCTGTAACTCCACCCCCATCAAGGTCCTGTAAATATGGACTGTTCAAAGGGTTTAGCAATTCCAGATTTGATGTAAACATCTGACCCCGCCATGTGAAATAGCTCTGCTGATCCCTCTCGTTTTAGGGCTGGAATTGAGCCCTGGTTTTCTCTCGTTTTGTTGTTTGAAATTGAGCCCTGATTCAGGGCTGGAAATCAGGTCAAGACTTGGAAGTTTAATCAAATGCCCTGACAAGTTTCTCTTACCGATTGCTCCTTGAGTGGAGTTTGCTTTGGTTTGCTTTTTCTTTTTCTTAAAGGGTTTTACTGGGAAGATCAATCCGCCTGTTGACGAGATGAATTTTAAAAAAGACCTGAAGTTGCTGATTCTGTTGAAATTATGAATGTTCAATCTGGTAGTGTGGGGATATGTGTGTGAACTCGTTGGATGGTTCGAAGTAGTTGATTCTGTTGATTATTGTTGTCTCTTACAACAGTGCCATCAATGAAAATGTCAGATGGCTTAATGTGTCTGGATACGAGGTTGTGAGAAATAGTTTACTTTCTAATAGGTAGGTGAAGAGTGGTTGAGGAAAACAAGTTGAACTATCTCTTGTGGATTCAATAACCTACCGTAAAATACACCTTTGATGATCTGCCACAGTATACACTTATGCTTGTGAAACAAAACTAATACATCAGATCACTTTTCAGACAACCAAGACAATGAATATGGTTTGATAAACTATCACCAATACACAAGGTTCACAACTTAATAGTGCTATAGTTATTGCTATTACAAGGTCAATCTGAGCTCTATTCTATTGAATTATTCACTACCAAATGAGAGTATTTATTACTATAATAATCTTCGACCAACACAGTTTTATAGGGTTCCTGGACAGGCCACTTTTGCAATGATGCAACATGAGATGGAGTCCCAGATTCATTACCTCGAGCAAGTAGCATACAGTTCAGTGCTACGAGCTTTCAAAGCACAATCCGATGCCCTTTCATGGGTATGGTTTACGCCTTTACAAATCTATATCCTGGATTTAGTTTGTTTTCTGCTGAGTGGCCTAAATGCTCGGTGATGTATACAATATCTCAGGAGAAGGAAGGATTAATAACAGAACTTCGGAAAGAACTGCGAGTTTCTGATGACGAGCATAGAGAACTACTCTCCAAGGTAAATACCGACGACATCATTATAAGGATCAGGGAGTGGAGGACTTCAGGGGGGACCCGTAGTGCAATGCTCAACATTCCCCAATCTATCCATGACCCAATTTCACTGAGTCCGACTGTTTCAGCATCTCGGAAGAGGCAAAAGACATCTATGCCCCTGTCTTTACCCACTCAGTCGTTTTCTGGCTTGGGAGCTGGAATCCAAACCCCTAAACCTGTGAGTTGATTAAGAATTCAAATATGTATGTGATATTAAATAATGTTTTTAATTCTTGACTGATGGGTCATTGAATGTCAATGAAGTCCCCAAGGTACCCCTTAATGGGGAGAACTCCACGGGGAATGCTTTCAAATCATGGGTCTTCTGCTATTTCCATAGCAAATGAAGCAACTGATGTGGGTACAAGGGATCAATTGATTGGGAGGAAACTAAGAACCAGATGGCCTGATGACAACAACTTTTATGAGGCTGTCATAGTTGACTACAATCCTGTACAGGTATGTTATAGGTTCCTTTAGCTTAATTGGGTGGCAGCAACAGGAAAGATATCTTATGGGGGGAAGACTATAGTAGATGCTATTTAAGTGAGATCATATCTTTTGGCCTAATGTTCTTATTTCGTTGGCATCTGAATCAACTTGTTATTTCTTCTTCACAACATCCTGATTATCTTCATTGTTCTATTGATCATTTTTGATAGATTTTTGTGATATTTTTACGACTTCTTGAGATGTGATATTCATATAATATCATTTTTTTTGTAAATTGATGCAAGTGATCTGCTCCTTAATGTCCAAATTTAACTTTTCTTTTCTGAGCAGTTGATATTCTAAAAATTCTCTGATTCTCTCCATTTGTAAATTTAATTGGGTAAATATCACTGTCTATAGTTTCTCTATTAATGTAATTTATAATGTATTTTTATCTCTCTTAACATATCTTCACTACATTAAAAGGCCCTTGGCCCAATGGCATTAACCCACCAAACTAACTTTGAGGTTTGGGGGTTCAAGTCTCATAAAAGACAAGTATGAGCTGTGAGAGTTTCCCCCTTGCCCAAAATTTTGAATATTATATCTTTTACTATTATAATCTGTAGATTTTTTGTTTGAATGCCTACTCCATTCATTCTCTATGATTTCATTTTCCAATTTGTACTGTTTTATGATCCACCATATAGAGCTTAATCATTGTTCCTGTGATGGATTAGTGAATAAGTGGGTCACTTGAACATGTAATGTGGTGAAGAAGGGATTTGCACACCATACATATTTATCAATGCAGAAAGTTTTCTTCTCATCTCAGTATCCAATTATGCCTGTAATTGTTTTTGTTAAGAAATTACTAGAGATCTTTTAGTGAATTTGGATGCTTGAGGCAGAGAATTTTATTAGATGAGAAAAAAATGTTAGTCTTCTTTTTTCTCTCAAATAAAAGCCTCATTGGCGCCTGCTCCAGTCCCCTTACGAAACTTTCGTTATTGGGTTAGCCGTGGTTAGGCCTTGAATCTAAAAAAAAATACAGTATTTCTAATTAGAATAAATAAATAGGATTTGGTTTGTTTAAGTGTTTACAACATGACCTACTTATTTATAGGCTAAACAAAAAAGAAAATAACAGACTAACTAAACTAAGTCTACTAGAACTAAAGTCACACCACTCGACAAATCTCCACCTTGACTTTAATTCTACAAAGATTTTACTTCTAGTTATCAATGTTTGGGAGATCTAAACAATGTCTGAACTTGTTTAAAGAAACAAGTTTAGTAAGTGCATCAGCTGGGTTATCATCAGTCTTCACTTTAACTCTTCTTTCTGACCGTATGAAATGATAACAACGTCTATGTGCTTCGTTCTTTCATGATGCACCTGATTTTTCGCAACACAAATAGCACTTAAACTGTCACAAAAAATCATAGCTTGATCTTGATGAAATCCAAGATCTCCAAGCAGACCCTTCGGCCAAATCTCTTCCTTAGCCTCTGTAAGGATAAAGCAACTGATGGTTGTAATGTTGCTTTCTAGCTTACTAAGGCATCTCCAACAGTGAACACATAACCCGTTAATGATCTTCGATTGTCAAGGTCAGCTGCATAATCTGAGTCTGAATACCCAACAACAAAACTGTCTCCTTTTCCTCCATAAATGAGACCTACATCAGCTGAACCTTTAAGATACTGAAAAATACGTGTTACAGCAGCCCAATGTTCCTTTCCTGGACAAGCCATATAGCGCGAAACGACACTAATGGCACGAGCTATGTCAGGCCTAGTACAGACCATAACATACATAAGACTTCCCCACAATGCTTGAATAAGGAACTTTGTTCATATACTCCACTTCAACTTCTGTTTGAGGAGCCAAAGCCACCGATAACCTGAAATTTGCAGATGGAGTGCTCAAAGGCTTTGCCGAAGCCATATCAAACCGAGAAAGTATCTTCAAGATGTAACTTTTCTGTGACAAGAAAAGTTTTTGTCTAGATCTGTCTCGAACTATTTCCATCCGAAGTATTTTTTGAGCAACTCACAAATCTTTCATATCAAACTCAAAATTATGGAGTTGTTTCAACCTCTTAATTTCAGCCATATCTCGAGCTGCTACCGACATATCATCGACATAAAGTAGCAAATACACACGTGAACCATCAGCTACTTTCTTATGATATATGCGGCAATCATAAGGGCTTCGATTAAAACCATGTTTCACCAAAAGCTGTCAAATCGCTTATACCACTGCCTCAGAGATTGCTTCAACCCGTAAAGCGATTTCTTGAGCTTACAAACATAATCTTCCTTTTCTTGAACCACAAATCCTTCCGGTTGACTCATATAAATTTCTTCTTCAAGATCTCCATGCAAGAACGCTGTTTTAACATCCAACTGTTCCAACTCCAAATTTTGTTGTGCTACTAGTGCCAACAGCACTCGTATGGATGTATGACGCACCACCAGTGAGAATATTTCATTATAAGCAACCCCTTGCTCTTGGCTATAACCTCTAGCCACCAAATGAGCCTTAATTCTCACATTTTCAGCTCCTGGCAGCCCTTCTTTCCGCTTAAAAATCCACTTACAGGTCACAACTTTTCTGCCTTGAGGTAATTTGACCAATTCCTAAGTCCTATTTTTGTGAAGGGACTCCATTTATTCACTCATGGCTACTATCCACACATCAGCCTCCTTTGTTGTGATTGCTTCTCTATAAGTAGATGGCTCAAAGAACTCCCAATTCTTCAACAACTTGTAATGCATAGGCCACCATGTCGTCAAAACCATACGGAATTGGCCTCCCGACTTGTCTTCGAGGCTTGTCTAAAGCTATGGACTGAAATTCCATAGGCTGGTGCTGACTTTCGGACTCAACAGGTCCTGTTTGAATCATGTTACTGCGCTGTCCAAAGACATTCTCACCCTCATCTGAATCATTTAACTCATGCTCTATCTGTTCGGAGATCCTCTCCTCTTGGTCTTTTGAAGTAGATGAAGTAGACGAATACCGTACGTCACTCAACATACTTCCTTCATCAAATATTACATCATGGCTGAGAATTACCTTTGTTTCATCAAGTGACCGGATTCTATACCCTTTTACTTCAGCACCATATCCCATAAACAACCCTTCTTTGACCTTGGTTCCAACTTTCCTTCACTCACATGGTAGTATGAAGGACAACCAAACACCCGTAAATTCGTGTAACCAGCTGGCTTACCGGACCACGTTTTAGTAGGGGTTTTACAACCAATTGCTGTTGCCGGAGACCTATTCACCAGGTAACAAATCGTGTTTAACGCCTCAGCCCGAAAACCTCTAGACAACTCTGCATTTGACAGCACATATCTAACTCTTTCTAGCAGCGTTCCATTCATCCTTTCGGCCACTCCATTTTGCTGTGGAGTGTGCCTTGCAGTTCCTTCATCTTTACAAAACCGGTCAAACTCATTCGAACGAAATTCCAAACCATTATCAGTTCGCAACCTCTTTATCTTCTTCCCAACTTGATTTTCAATGAGAACCTTTCATTCTTTGAACTTCTCAAATGACTCACTTTTATCAGTTTATGTTTCATGATAAACACCCAAGTCATCCTAGAGTAATCGTCAACAATTGAGAGGAAATAACGGCCACCACCAAGAGAAGAAATCTGTGAATGACCCCAACAATCAGCATGTAGATAGTCCAAAGTAGACTTGGTATTATGGAGAGCCTTTGAAAAACTCACTCTCCTTTGTTTTCCACAGATACAATGCTCATAAAAGCCGAGTTAAGCAACTTTATGACCTCCAAGAAGTCCTTGCTTGCTGAGCATGAGCATGCCTTTCTCACTAACATGCCCCAGCCTCATATGCCACAAGAGTGTCAAATCTGACTCGTTTTTATCAGAATTAAAGGCTGGCGATGCTGACCCAACAACCATGTTGCTTTCAAGCACATACAAGGTACCTTTCTTGACTCCTTTCATCACCACTAATGCACCTTTAGAGACCTGGACTACTTTTTCACAGCTGTACTTGAAACCTTTGGAATCTAAGGCTCCCAAAAAAACCTAATTCTTTTTCAAATCAGGTACGTGACGAACATCAGCCAAAGTTCTCACTACCCCGTCTTGCATTTTGATACTTAGCGAACCTATTCCAACAACATAACACGGAACATCGTTCCCCATTAAAACACTTCCTGTTGCAACCTTTTCATAAGTATCAAACCAGGCCTTATTCGGTGTCATGTGAAACGAACACTCGGAGTGAAGAATCCACTCATCTTGCTGACTTTTAGAGTCGACTACTGAAAGAACCAGATCAGCCTCTGAACCCGAATCATCTTTATCAACAGCAGCAGATGCCTTCTCTTTTCGTTTCGGACCTTCATTTTTCCAATGTCCAAGATCACCACACCTGTGACATACATCTTTCGGGCTAGCTTTCGATCCTCGACCCTTCAATCTTTGATTGACTTCTTCCTTTCCACTTGCCTTTACCTTTCTCTCGACCCTTTTCTCTACCTTCATTTACCACTCACAAACCAACAAATTGGCTTTCAGTTCCATTTTCGGAAGCTTTATGGCGTAATTCTCGTGAATGCGAACTTGATCGAACTTCTTCCAAAGTAATTGTGTCCCTTCCAACTACAAATGAGTTGACAAAATTTTCGTATGAGGGTGGCAATGAAACCAATAAAATGAGGGTAGCAATCTCATCTTGAACTTTGACCTCAACATTCTTTAAATCCATAAGAATGAAGTTTAACTCGTCAAGATGTTCCTTCAATGGCATCCCTTCCTTCATTCGAAGCGAAAATAACCTTTGCTTTAGCAACAACTTGTTTGTTAAAGACTGTCATGTAGAGACTTTCAAGTTTCATCCATAAAGATACGGCAGTCTCCTCATTTGTGACCTCGTAAATCACTTCATCTGCCAAGGACAACAAGATGGTGCTGTGAGCCTTCTCATCTTGTTGATTAAACTCCATGTCGGCCATATTTGCAGGTCTTTCTCCAGCCAAGGGAGTCCAAATTCCTTGTTGTTTTAGGAGAGCTCTCATCTTAATTCGCCATAAGCTGAAATTATTTTTACAAGTAAACTTGTCGATCTTTATCATTTGTGGAGGCATCACCAAAATCTTGATTGAATCGAGGCAAGTGCTTTCAATCACCAAAGGATGACCAATTCCAGTCGCCCTCCACCTAGAATCGAACACTAGTCGCCAATTGATCAAAAATTAAAGTCGCCAGTCACCAGTTGATCACTAATTTCAATTGCCAGACACCAATCGATCACTAATTTTAGTTGCTAGACTCCAATTGATCACTAATTTCAAGATGCCTGTTCCCAATCGATCGCCAATTTGGCAATTTCAATTCCAGAAAACCAATCGATTACCAATTTCAGTTGCCAAACTCCAATTGATCACTAATTTCAAGATGCCGGTTCCCAATCGATCGCCATTTTCAATTCTGGAAACCAATCGATCACCAATTTCAATTCCGGAGACCAATCGATCGTCAATTTCAGATGTAGCTCTACCTTGAATCCCGTTGACTTGAATTGGACTTCAAGATTGACGCAATTGATTGCCAAGATTGCAATCGGAAGGAGCAATTTCAAAACACAGGTCGACTTGATCAATCGCAGAATCAAGAACCGAAAAAATCCAGAACCAACAAAAGCGTGTCTTTGATCACCACGCTCTGATACCAATTTGTTAAGAAATTACTAGAGATCTTGTAGTGAATTTGGATGCGTGAGGCAGAGAATTTTATTAGATGAGAAAAATGTGCAGTGTTTACAACATAACCCACTTATTTATAGGCTAAACAGAAAAGAAAATAACAGACTAACTAGACTAAGTCTACTAGAACTAAAGTCACACCACTCGACAGTTTTTTATATGTAAAACAAATAATCTGTTGTGTCTTTTTGTTTGAACTGACCAGTCCTTGAAAGCACAGATATTACATGTTCAGTTCATGTGAATCTAGCAAGTAGCATCCATCATTGTTAATATATAAATTTTTGCAGGGACGTCATGCTCTACTTTATAATAAGAATACACCACAGGAAAGCTTTGAATGGGTTAATCTCAAGGAGGTAAAGTGTTGTCATCATCTCTAGTGTTTTATGTTGGCATGCTACGGTTATTCATGGAAAGCAAATGATGGTGGACCAACCAACTTGAGACACTTCAATCCGTCACAAAATTTCAATTTGAAACAATTTTCAATTTGCTGTCACGCATGTTCTTTTCGTTAACAGCAAACATATAACTCCAACATTAACTCTGAAGCTAAGTGTTAGAGCATCTCCAGTGCACTCCCTACATCCATTCTTTAACTAATGTAGGTAGACAAAACCAAAACAAGATCACTCCAATGCACTCCCTACATTGGCTCCCTATCCTAATTAACGTTATCTCCTCCCTACATGTGGGGAGCTCCCTACGATATAACTACATTATTTTATTATTATCTGTTTTATTAGTAATTGAAGTATGTAAAGAACATATATTAGAGTAAACAATAAATTATTAATAATATGCAGCTAATAATGTAGGGAGCATAAAGAACACTTCTTAGACTGATTTTTAGGCAAATTACTCCCTACCTTAGTTTAAATATCGGGAGTATGATTGGAGATGCTCATATACCTCAGCCCAAGAATTTCTCTATCATATAAATATTTATATGTTCCAAGACGATTTGTCCAAGCATGAGATAGAATAACAACCTGTTGAACTAAGCATGATAGATTTTGTACAGAACTCATCTACCTACTATTTGTTTCCATTGAATATCCTGAATTCCCTGTTTTATCCTGTAGTGAATTTGGTTCATGTTCAAGTAAGATAATGGGGTTCAGGTGTCGATTCTGCTTTATATTACCATTAGCTACTAGTCTGTGCCAATGAGCACACTATCTGGTTATGAGCTTTAACATGAAGTCTACACTTTGATGCCATGTAGATTCTCTAAGAGTCTCTTGAAGTGTATATATTACTCTTTGGGTTCTATATTAAAGAATTTGTTGCACTGTGTTTCCTTTTGTATACTTCAGAGTACATCTTACAATTGTTATCTAGGTCTGAAATGTAACAAATAAACAAATCTTCTGCATGATGCCAAAAGTTCCTCATAGATTTTTGTATGGATTGCATAAATTTGTATCAGCTTTTCTTACTTGAATGATCACGCACACACACATCTCTCTCTCTTTATCTGCAATTCTGCATGTCTGCCTCTAAAAAATTGGCAGTTTGATAAAGTTGTGAGTTTGGATCCTTTGTTGTTCTTTCTATTATTCAACACAATTCTAGCTAGTAGCTACTATCTGTCTATAAACTCATAATATAATGCTGAAAGCTTTTGGTAGTCATTTCACTCTGGCGATCTTAGAAATTAGTCGAAGTGAGTTCACAATGAACATCAACAAACAGTAGTCTCCATCCCTCACTCCATGTGTGTGTATGTGATTATTCTCTCCAGATCTTTTCTTGACCCTTCTGCTAATTCTAATTTGTAATCATCTGAATCATTAAAGTCTTTCACAATATGCGTTGGACACAGGTCAATAGCCATGAAGGCTATGGACAATTTGTGAGAAACTCGCATGATTTAGAAGAAGACTGGTTCAACCTTGAATGCTGCCAAACTTGTGGTCCAACTAATACAAACAAGAGTGAAAAATTTTGATCAATGATTTGCCTATTTTATACCTTTGTTGCCTGCTGATTGTGATAATTATATGACTTACTTTGCCAAACAGATATGGTAGATCATGCTAACATTAAGTAGGAGATGTCTTTTGGGATCAGTTTGCACTGTCTTTTAAGATTTTGCATGCATGTGTTCACATTTAGTTGAGATGGAATCTGCTTTCAAATAATTTAATTATCATGGAAAATTTCAGTTTCTCTAAACAATTCCCCATTGCCAGATTCCTCCGGAGGATATCCAATGGATAGGTGAGGACCCAGGATCTGATCAAGTTAGTCATGGTGGACAAGGACATGGATTTGGTAATCAAGTTAGCCATGGAGTTAGTAGAGGTAGAGGGAACCCAAAGGAGCAATCGCGAAAAGGATACCCACCATCGCAGAATGGTGATATGAAGGCTTCAGATGAAATAGAGATATTTCACACTGACACTCTTATAAAGGAGGTACTTTAATTTATGATCTTGATACCTTTTTCCTCTACCCATGGCCCACCAGTACACAAAAAATTATTTTTCTTTGCCCTGAACCTTGATCTTGGCAGGTGGAAAAAGTATTTGATGCTACTCATCCTGATCTGCTTGAAATAGAGAAGGCAAAGAAAATGCTCAAGGTATGACTTGGAAACCAATCCATTAATTTCTGAAGAAGTTTGTTTCCATGTCAAAGCATTTGATATTTTAATTTTGTGGATGATCTAGGAACATGAACGAGCACTGATTGATGTCATTGCGAAGCTCGCAGATGCATCCGACAGTGATAGCGGTAATAATCACGATGGCTTGCTCTTTTTAATTTTTGTGATGTAATTTATGTAGGCTGTATGTATTGCCAGGGGAAGATTCGAATTTAGAAAGGCAAAAAAAGTCGAGTACGTAATAAATAATAAATGATTCATATGTGAATCGTTGGTAAACCCAGAAAACATCCATTCGAAGATGCATATGTGAACCCACGTTTTCTTTTAGCAAATGATTCACATATGAATAATTTGTTAATTTTGTGAAATCAGGTGGAGATGCACGATTCGTGCATGGGCATGGGCATGGGCATGGACAAGGGATGGATGGAGAGGTAGGAGGAGGCAGATACGGCAGCAGCAACCATTATGGAAGATCGGATGGTACAGCAGCAATGGGGAGAGGAAGCATAACAGCAGCAACTGATAACCAGGCAGAAGAGTATGTGGATATCATCTAGTAATATACATGGTAAACCTCTCTTCTTATCTTAACTTAAAAAGAATGACAAAAAATTAGAGTTTTAGTTATTAAGATTCAGGATTTTGTTATGTTTTGTATAGATGATGGTATAAAAGTAGAAGAATATATTATGCACATACCTATATTCAAAGCTCAAACTTTCATTCTACCTTTCTATCTCTGTATTTACAAAATAATACTTGCCATTGACATTGCCATTGCCATTTGAACCTATATTCATTGCT